CAGCAAGGATCGGATGGGTGAGCGTGTGCGAGGCAGGGGCGGTGCCTGGCCCGTGAGCCACGCGGTCGCCCTGCTGTGTGACTGCTCTCAACATCACTGTGCCGCTGTCATGAGGGTGTTAGTCGGACCACCAGGTGACCCGCGTCCAGCTGCCTGGCAGTAAGTGATATCAAGAGTGGCCGAGGGACCAGCAGATGGTGTAATGGCTATGTGGTTGGACTCCCATATAGTCAACTGCAGTTCGAGTCCTGGATCCGGCAGCTTAAACTCACGCCGGGCGCGTGTGCATGCGTGCCCAAGATCCCGAGAGGAGAATGGAGGAGAAGGGATTGCAGCATGGCTATCCCCCCTGGGGGGTGATTTCTCACTTTCTGTCTCTCTGTCTCTCTCTGTCTCTCTGGCAAGTGCACACGCCCTATAGCAAAAACCTCTGCAAAAAAAAAAAAAAAGAGAAGTGATTTGCCCAGGGTCCCCCGCTGCTCAGTAAGGAACCATGGCTATCCTCCCGGGGGTGGGGGGGATTTCTCACTTTCCCTTTCACTGTCTCTGTCTCTCTGGCGAGCGCATGTGCCCTAAGGCTTTTTTAAAAAGCTCTAAAAAAATTGGGAACTGTCCACTAGAATTATTATTTTTTAAAGATTTATTTACTTTCATTTATTGTTACTATTATTTAATTTGCTATAGGGCACGTGTGCTCACCAGAGACAGAGAGACAGAGACAGAGAGAGGGAAAGTGAGAAAGCAAGCCACCAGGTCCAGGACTCGAACACTGTCGGCCACATGGGAGTCCAGCACCTTCACCACCATGTCGCCTGCTGGTCCCAGGTCTGTTATTTTTTTAGAACCCCCCTTGGGGGATGGTCACACCACAATTCCTTCTCCATTTTTCCTTCAGTCGGGATTCTGGGCACGTACATCACTTGCCCGGTGTGTTTGTAAGCCGGCTGGTCTGGGTCTCAAACTATGGTCAGCCACATGGGAATCCAGCGCCATAACTGCTACACCAAATGCCGGCCCCCAGCAGCTCCCAGTGTAATCTCGGGGTGGCCCCGGACGTGCCCGGTCTCGTTTGCTGTCACCTCCACCCTGTGAGGAAGCTCTGCAGTTGTAGCTACTTTACGGAGGAGGACACTGAGGCTCAGGGAGAGGGAGGGACGTGGCTAAGGTCACGGGCCACGTGAATAGCAGATCTGGGGCTAGAACCTGGGCCCGAACGACTCCACGTGTGAGCTGTTCCTCCCCATCGGGCGTCCAGAGGGAAGCCAGTTCCAGCCCGAGCTCTGACCTCCTGCGTGTCCTGGTGTCCCCACCACCCGAGGCTTCTCGTGGCGTGCCCTCCGCTCTGGCCCACCCACAGGACAAGCAGGTGGGCTGCGGCTTATTCGCCCCTCCCTGTTCGCAGTGGGCAGGGAGGGATTTCCGGGTATGCTCCTGCCTCCCGGCTGGGACGACACACAGTTCCAGCCCTGCCTGGTTACCGGCGTGCCCCTGCCTTGCCCTCGCTCCTGGTCACGCATAGGGCCTGAGCGCCACAGTGACCTCTTCTCCCTCCGTGCTGTGTGACGGGCCCTCCTGCAGCCCTGGGTTCCTCATCAAAGAAATGGGAACAAACGGTGTCTTCATCACAGGTTGTTCGTGTGCTGCCCTTTTAGGTGCTGGGGACTCAGGAGAACAGACAGGGGCATTCCCTGCCTTCTGGTGCCCACAGCCTGGGAATTATTGTAACTATCCCGTGGACTAAAGCCTTCGAGGAGAGAGGTGTGGAGTCTGAGAGCCAGGATCAGTCAGGGAGGGCTTCCTGGAGGAAGGGACAGCTTTGAGCTGGAAATACAGGTGGGTAGCAGTTAGCCAGGCAAAGAGAAGAGGAAGGTCAGCATTTTGCACCAGGGAGCAGAGTCAGTGCTCTGGGGAAAGTCGTGGGGCCTCAGTTTCCTATTCTGTAAAACGGCACGGTAGGGGTAGCAGGCGAGGAGGCAGGACCGCTGGCTTTAACGCACATATTTTGGGATATCACTGTGTGTCAGGCACTGCACTGGCCGTGAGAGCCCATGCCCTCTGCTAGTTCTCATGAGGCCCCCGCGTCCCCACTTTACAGAGGAGGAAACTGAGGCCGTGCCTGCATCATGCAGTGGGCAAGGGTGGGGCAGCCTGGGTTTGAACCTTGCTCCATAGGGCTCTGAGCTGGCTTAGGTGGTCAGCTCCGGGCCTGGGTCCCTGTGTGACTCCGAGGCAAGTCCTCTCCCAGTTCACACCAGGATGGCCGGACCTGAGGCAGACGCTTTTCCACGTCCCTGAAAGCGGCTCCTGTTGTAGCTCCCGCCCGGGGCTGGCAGCCGACCACATCTGGGAGTGGCCGCCCCGCGCCCCTGTCATTACAACGGTGGCTTTGAAGCAGCTGGCAGCGTCTGCTTGCCCACGTGGGAGGGGGCTTCCTGGCGCCCCCACCCCGGCCGGGTCTGGCTGACTCCCTGCTTACTCCCTTGCAGGCTGAGTCGTGCAGACCGATCTGGGGCTGGCATGGCGGATCCTGGTGATGGCCCCCGTGCAGGGCCCGGGGAGGCATCTGAGCCTCCCGGGGATGAGAGCGGCACCCCTGGCGGGGAGGCCTTCCCCCTCTCCTCCCTGGCCAATCTGTTCGAGGGGGAGGATGGCTCTCCTTCGCCCTCATCAGCTGACGCTGGTCGGCCCCCCGGCCCAGGCGATGGGCGGCCGAACCTGCGAATGAAGTTCCAAGGTGCCTTCCGCAAGGGGGTCCCCAACCCCATCGACCTGCTGGAGTCTACCCTGTATGAGTCCTCCGTGGTGCCTGGGCCCAAGAAAGCGCCCATGGACTCGCTCTTCGACTACGGCACCTATCGCCACCACCCCAGTGACAACAGGCGGTGGAGGAAGAAGATCGTTGAGTGAGTATCGCAGGCCGCCGGGTCAGCGCTTTCCTCTGTGCTGACTCTCCTTCACCACCCACCCAGTTTCCACCCACTCACCCATCCACCTGTCTGTCCACCCATCCGTCTATCCACTCACCCACCCATCTGTCCATCCACCTGCCACTTTCCCTTTCACTGTCTCTGTCTCTCTGGCGAGCGCATGTGCCCTAAGGCTTTTTTAAAAAGCTCTAAAAAAATTGGGAACTGTCCACTAGAATTATTATTTTTTAAAGATTTATTTACTTTCATTTATTGTTACTATTATTTAATTTGCTATAGGGCACGTGTGCTCACCAGAGACAGAGAGACAGAGACAGAGAGAGGGAAAGTGAGAAAGCAAGCCACCAGGTCCAGGACTCGAACACTGTCGGCCACATGGGAGTCCAGCACCTTCACCACCATGTCGCCTGCTGGTCCCAGGTCTGTTATTTTTTTAGAACCCCCCTTGGGGGATGGTCACACCACAATTCCTTCTCCATTTTTCCTTCAGTCGGGATTCTGGGCACGTACATCACTTGCCCGGTGTGTTTGTAAGCCGGCTGGTCTGGGTCTCAAACTATGGTCAGCCACATGGGAATCCAGCGCCATAACTGCTACACCAAATGCCGGCCCCCAGCAGCTCCCAGTGTAATCTCGGGGTGGCCCCGGACGTGCCCGGTCTCGTTTGCTGTCACCTCCACCCTGTGAGGAAGCTCTGCAGTTGTAGCTACTTTACGGAGGAGGACACTGAGGCTCAGGGAGAGGGAGGGACGTGGCTAAGGTCACGGGCCACGTGAATAGCAGATCTGGGGCTAGAACCTGGGCCCGAACGACTCCACGTGTGAGCTGTTCCTCCCCATCGGGCGTCCAGAGGGAAGCCAGTTCCAGCCCGAGCTCTGACCTCCTGCGTGTCCTGGTGTCCCCACCACCCGAGGCTTCTCGTGGCGTGCCCTCCGCTCTGGCCCACCCACAGGACAAGCAGGTGGGCTGCGGCTTATTCGCCCCTCCCTGTTCGCAGTGGGCAGGGAGGGATTTCCGGGTATGCTCCTGCCTCCCGGCTGGGACGACACACAGTTCCAGCCCTGCCTGGTTACCGGCGTGCCCCTGCCTTGCCCTCGCTCCTGGTCACGCATAGGGCCTGAGCGCCACAGTGACCTCTTCTCCCTCCGTGCTGTGTGACGGGCCCTCCTGCAGCCCTGGGTTCCTCATCAAAGAAATGGGAACAAACGGTGTCTTCATCACAGGTTGTTCGTGTGCTGCCCTTTTAGGTGCTGGGGACTCAGGAGAACAGACAGGGGCATTCCCTGCCTTCTGGTGCCCACAGCCTGGGAATTATTGTAACTATCCCGTGGACTAAAGCCTTCGAGGAGAGAGGTGTGGAGTCTGAGAGCCAGGATCAGTCAGGGAGGGCTTCCTGGAGGAAGGGACAGCTTTGAGCTGGAAATACAGGTGGGTAGCAGTTAGCCAGGCAAAGAGAAGAGGAAGGTCAGCATTTTGCACCAGGGAGCAGAGTCAGTGCTCTGGGGAAAGTCGTGGGGCCTCAGTTTCCTATTCTGTAAAACGGCACGGTAGGGGTAGCAGGCGAGGAGGCAGGACCGCTGGCTTTAACGCACATATTTTGGGATATCACTGTGTGTCAGGCACTGCACTGGCCGTGAGAGCCCATGCCCTCTGCTAGTTCTCATGAGGCCCCCGCGTCCCCACTTTACAGAGGAGGAAACTGAGGCCGTGCCTGCATCATGCAGTGGGCAAGGGTGGGGCAGCCTGGGTTTGAACCTTGCTCCATAGGGCTCTGAGCTGGCTTAGGTGGTCAGCTCCGGGCCTGGGTCCCTGTGTGACTCCGAGGCAAGTCCTCTCCCAGTTCACACCAGGATGGCCGGACCTGAGGCAGACGCTTTTCAACGGCCCTG